TGTCCTGAGCAGGGGGTCGGAGCAGGTGCTCTCCAGTTGTCCCTTTTTTCATCATCAGTAAACAACTGCAGAGTGACTCAGTGAAAAAGAAAGGACGCTTTTGGGCACTTGCAGCCTCCTAGTTGCATACACTGTGCTGCAGTCACTAAAATGAAAAGAAATAGCACAGTGGTGAGGTGTTAAGGTGCAGGCAACTTGCAAATACATAAATGATCACATGGGGACACGGGCAAGTGTTGACATTGGCCACTCTGCACAAAAACAGTCCAAGAGCAAAATATGAGGGCAGAGGAAAGGGTGCTTGAGGTTGAGGAAACCCTTACAAAAAGAATGAAGGGAGATTTGAAAGTGCTGCATTGATGGTTTTACTAAATTATCTTAGTGGTCTTTCCCAACCTTAATGTTTCCATGATTCTGTGATTTAATTTGCTATTTTCAGAAGTCCAGTAAAAGAAATAGTCTTACATTTATCCTCAGAAGCGCATAAGGTTTTCCTGTTTCAGATAACTATCCTATGGGACATAATTTTGTTCCCAGTCACAGGTAGAAGCTGGAAAGCTTGACCTCAAAAGTACTTACTTCCATCTAGGAGGAAAATTCAGTTCTATTGAATGGTTTCAGTTCCAGGAAAGTTATTCTTGATAACAACCAGAAATTAATCTTTCAGGTATAAAAAGCTTTGCTTTCACAAATGTCAGTGTTCTGCTTGCTGCATTACACCATTTTCTTGTCTATAAGAGAAGTCCCTGGACAATTAGGAGCTCCTAAATGTGTGCTTTGGGTCTAATATAGCAAAATGACACTGACCTCTCCCCCCACTAATGTGACAACTTCCTCCCAGACCCAAACATAAGAGAACTAGACCCAATATTTCCACATAATGGCAAGATTACCAGCAAATATCAAAATCTTCCTTAGCCCAACTCAAGAGCTCCCTTGCCTGTACATCTAAAGGTTTCCCTCATCCCTCTAGGTCCTCGTTCAGGGGGAGTTTCTGTTCAGTTGCTGTGTCACTCTTTCGTGAGTCTTTTCCAGATCCACTGCTTCAAAGCATAGTTTCCCATCTTAATTTTGTGGCCTTCATTCTCTGTTCTTAGCTATATAGATTCATGTTTACCTGTAATAGGATAGCATATTATATGCTTGCTTTTTGTTTACCATCTGATTACATCAGTGGCCTATTTTTGTTTCTGTTCCTCTGGTCTGTTGCCATAGGGTGAGTTTATGGGGGTTTTTTTCTGTATCACAGATCAAAATGGAAAATAGCCAGGAGACAGTCTAGGTGGAGCTTCACTAGTTAATACCCCTGAACAATGAATGATACTGCACAATGATTGTTTAACATTAAGATAGAGTTAACTACTGGATTGTGAGTTGATACATTGATATACTATAACTGTTCCATCAAAGAGCTGCACAAAACTAAAGCCTTATGCATCTAGGAGCTTTATATGAAAATGTCTTACTCTTCTGAGAAAGGTACCAGATTATCTCAGCAAAATCTGTTATTTGTAAATCCATGTTATTTTGTAAATCCAAGTATAAATAATGTACTTTCTTTTATCTCGGTATTTACTAACACAGTCATTTTGGGCAGCACACATTTCAGGCTACGGACTTCCATCAGCCCCAGAGCCAGAAGAATCCAGGCAATGTCAGGGCTGGACAGAATTTCACTGCCTGAATGGCCTGGGTTGTTCTGTGTATGTTTCAAATACTGTTTCATTATGAACTTTTTTTTTTTTTTTTTTTTTTTTTTTTTTTTTTAATCCTGTGGAGATCCCCTGGATTTCCAGATCTTCTGAAAGTGAGTTTTAATGACAAACTTCTGCCAGCTTGTAGGAAGTTCTGGGGTGCTGACACATTTTCTGATGTTAGAATGTCTGGAATCAGTGGCTGCTGTTCTGAGCATTTTGACACTCTTCCTGCACAGCAGTGACTCCACTTTCTTTTACTCCCAGATGCAGAACTGAGGTAGTCATTTGGTTGAAATTCCCAAAACAGGCCAATTGCAAATCTTTCTTTGGTCTATATTGTGCATAGGCAAAAATCCTGGGCAAGCTTGAGTAAAAACTGAGGCAGAGTCTTAAAAAATCCCTTCAAAATGTTTCCTACTGGAGCACAGCTATGTCGCTTGAAACCCTATGTCACTGTTATGTTGCTATGTCACTGCTGCCACTTATATACTGTCCCCATATAGCAATTAATACATTATTAAAATCCCTTTGTTACCATCATTTAGAGAAAGCTTCTTCTGAAATGTTTATTATCTGTATTTATGCTGCTTTTCATCTCGGCGGCGTCCTTGCCCTTCTGTAGTGCTACACGGCAGCCGCGTCTCCTGGCTGCGTGCCGCCTGTCACTCCGTCCTTCCGTGGAGATCCCGACGAACCCTCCAAAACCGGCACTGCTGCCTCGGTGTGGGAGACACACAAGAACGTGCTCCAGTTCCCTCGGGAGCCGGGGGATGGATGCATCGGCGGTGGCCCGGGCTCCCGGGGGAAAAGGGACAGGGCCACCGGGGCTCGCTGCCGTACGCAAGTAGCGCCGCGGACGTCATCCACCCACGGAAACTTCTCTCTGCGCGCCTAAACCAATTTTTTAATCACCTCTTTATTTTCCATTATTTTATTTCTTTTTATATATATATACTATATATATAGTTATAATTTTCGCAGCTTCCCAGCCTCTCGAGCAAGCCAGTCCCCTCAGGGCGCGGGGCCGGGCCCGCGCTGCCGCAGCGCCGCCCAGCGGCCCCGAGAGCGCGGGGAGCCGGGCCGGGCCCGCCGCCGCCCGGCGCTGCCTGCCCGGGCCGGGCCGTGAGGGCTCCGCGGCACACACCGCAGTAAGTTTCGCTCCCCTGACCAAGCTGGTTGTTCTCTCCCCTCCTTGGGAGCGGGAGGTGCGGGAGCGAGCCGGCCGCTGCCCATGGCTACCCGGGAACAGAGCTCTGCACCGGGGATGGCATACGTGCTTGCTGGGCTGAGCCCTCCCCTTGCCGCCCCAGCTGCTTTCTCCCAGTTTTTACACGTGTAGATTTATCATCTTTCCCTTGAATTATCCCTGTTCCGGGGCAGTATTGTAAAATTTAAGCAGTTCTCCTCTATTACACATCTAAGTAACTATTTTCCTTTCTGTTTAGAAACAGCATCTCTGCTTTTTTCCTTCCCGCCTGGGCCAGCCCTGGAGACAGTAAATGTCTGCGGGCGATGGTCCACAGGTGAAGCCTCTGCCCTGCTGGAGAATGTGACAGTGATTCATGTAGTTTCTAATCAGCTGAAGTCCCTTGTCACTCAAACTATGCCACAATGCACCCACAGCAAATGGTGCCTGAGGAAACATTGTGAGCTCGACTGTGGAAAGAGCCTGTGCACATCTCGGGGAATATCTCTTCTTCTGGGATCTCTCCAACACTGCTGTGTCAAACTACAGTCCATATTTATAGGTGCCAGTACACTAAATAAGACCAATTCATGGGTGAAATGCAGATTTAGTCTAATTTCTCTCCACCAGACATCTATCTGAAATAAAGTGTTCTTGACTGTAGATGAGGGTGTGTGAGCACACCCCATGTTAAGGATAGGGTGGAACCAGGATGTGTTGCCTGCCTGAGAATGTGAAGCAGCCACCTGGCAAAGCACACAACCCCTGGAGACTTGCCCAGAAAACTGGAGTGCCCCACAAAAGAAATAAAGCAAACAAATAAAAAATGTAAGCAGAAGAGAGCTCTCATCGTGGCTTCTTTACTTGGGCCAGAGGCAAGATTTTTGAGGTTTTTTTGTTTGGTTTTTTTTTGGTTGGTTGGTGGTTTTTTTTTTGACATTCTGCTGTAAACAACACCCGAGGACAAAGAAGGTACTGCCCATCTATCCTTTGGCCGCTGCCCCTAGGACAGTCCCCTCAATATCCTTGAATCCTTTTCTATTTTCTGGTAAGAGAGCATTTAGGCTTAAAGTTTCAGTTTGAAGTCTGTCTTCAAGATCCCATTGTACCCACTTTCTCTGGATGAGCTGGTCACCTCAGGAACCAGCAGCACCCTATTGCATCAAGTTCCTTTCTTGTAGTCACACTTCAAAACTCCCTGCACTGCTCCAGCTCTCTTTGGTGCCTGTCCTGTGATATCCACATAGAAATGGCATTATAAACTTCATAATGATGTAAACTTTATAATTATGTATGCTGACAACCTGGGACAGGGCTGAATTTTGGCAGACAGGGCTAGGGAAATACAAACAGTGCACATGATTTATAGTGTGCCTCTTTATAGATAGAAACCCGTATCTGTTCCTGAGATCATCCCGAGTTTCTTCACTTTCTTCAGCATACAAGGAGAGAGGCAAAGGGTGGATGCAAAAGAAGAGGCCAAAAGAACATGCAAGATATCTGTGGCAAACTATGGAAATGACTGCAATACAGAGATTATTAGATTTTTATTTGGATCTGAAAGTAAAGGACACTGACTGGCAACACCAACCTGGAGATGACAAAATAACAAGAAGTTGAAGACTGGCTGATGACATTTGTTCTGACAGTATCAACATAAGCCCAAGTGCCACCTGCACAGAGTTAAGATTGTTTCAAACAGAATTCTGTTAAAAGCATGAAGGTTTTTTTCCAAAATATTTTACAGTGTGTAACTGCCAACTTCTGATCTGACACTGGAAGTCCTAAACCCAAATTTACTGTGTCTCCACATTACAGTTCCTTAAAATATCTTCAATTTTTTTTCCTTGCATATTTCTCATCTGACTGGTGGTCTGGCACTATTTAGGTTATAAAATTCAAAATAGCCTTTTCCTGAGGTGACTAGATTTTCAGGGAAGTGTTTCATAGAGGATCCATCTGCTGTCTTTGAACACAGCAGTCTGCATTGAGACACTAGATCACACCAATTTGGCTTGTTTGCAAGTGTAATTTTGGTCCAATATTTAAGCTGCTTTTTGGAGAGAAAATGCAAAAATGAAAATATAGAAAACTTGAAAATTAAGAGGAAGAAAAAATGATGAAAGCATTTTTTTATTATTTTAGCAGAACTTTTTCAGTAACAGACACAAAACAAACAATTAATCTTTATATTACACTTTTGAATAGCCAGAAATTTATCTTTCATGAAAGAAATTTTATTTGATTAAGCCCTTAAAATTTATTCTTTATAATAGCTTATATATGGCAGACTTTTTTTTATTTGAAAGAGACTTTTGGTCAAATAGTTCTGTATGTTCTGATCAACTCATGGAAATCTTTGTTACATTGAAGAAGACTCCCTTTTGTTTTGTCAATGCCAACATCAGAAGCTACTATGAGTTGTAGCTACAGCATTGTGCTTCCCGGTATACACTTTGAGATCACCAAGTTTTTTGAGGTTTTGGGGTTTTTTTTCCTAGAAACAATGCCTGCTCAGTGCTGTTAAAATACCATTAAGGATTTTTGGTGTGATTTATTAAGGCAACACCATTCCTGACAAGTGGGGAGCTGTAGATGTTTCAGAGAGTGCAACTGAGATGTATGGATGGCTTGTGACTAAAGATTCATTGGTGTCCTGTCTATCCACTGATCACACTCTGCAGTTACAGCATGAAGCAGTTCATTTCTCAAGGAGGAGTCTAAAACATCACTGCAGTGTGACATCATTGCAGTGTGACTACTCTTTAGCCAATGGGACAAAATAAAGCTCTAACTAGAAAGTGCTTGCAACATTTCACAATGTGTAATGCATAATAGTAAATCTCTGAGGTGTCAAGCTAGAAGAGATTAATCTCTTAAGTGTCAGTTAGAAGAGATTTAAGCCTCAGGACTTGTTCTCAGGTCCTAGTATTGACACTAGCAAATGCTTTGAAGGTAGGGAAAGGAGTGCCTTATTTTTATAATTGCTGTTCTTTGGCTGAAATACTTAAACAAATTGCATTTTCTTCTGCTGAGAGCTGTTTATCCCAATGCAATTGTAGATACAAACAAACAGAAATAGCTGGTGTTTTCAAAGCCTGAACATCTATCCTAGCTTCCCCAGTTTGGTTCTCAAACTACAGAGGCCAAGCATTTCCAGTGCCAAACTATCATTACCCCGTTGGAGACCACTTGGGAAACCAATAGATTTTTTTAACCCCCATTCCCATTCTTGGAAAGATATGGGGAAAACAATCTGGGGAAAACAATCATTTGCCCTATAGATTGCCAGGAGGATGACAAATAACTTCTATATAAATGTGAGTGGAGCTCCAGTTGAAATCAGCAAACTTGAGCTACAGCTGGCAGGTTAGGTAAAGATGGAGTTTTATTCCTAGGGATTTTATCTTTGAGATGGCCAGAGCTCAAAGGTGTGAATTTGGGCTGGGGGGACTCCATCCTTTTGCTAAACACACCTTAATGGCAAGGACAGCCTACCTACCTCTGCTTGGGTTTTTCACTGTTTAAGGGTTATTTGTATACTTGTATAAAATGTAACATCTAAAAATCACCTAAAACACTAGGTCATGGAAGTTTAGCTGTCTGATACAAAACCATCATGAAACAAGGATCTGTATTATTCACATTAAATTTTCAAGAGAGTCAGGTCATGCTGCTGTAGCATGGCTTTCTTCCCCTCTAAACTGAAGACTTGCAGCAATATTATTAGGGAAAGACTTTGGAGCTCTACCACTGAAGGCAATGTCATGAAAAGCTTGTACACTGCCATGGCTCATAGCCTCCTGCTGCTGAAAGGTGTTTGCAGCTCCTGGCAGTCTCCTGATGACAGCAGCTGTCAGTGACAGATGTCATTTAGCAAATTCTAGTCTGGCTGTAGTGATAAGTACTGAGAAGATGCACAGCTGAACTCCTGTTTTTATTTCTCTTCCCTCATTAATGTTCTCATCCAGCTCTGAAATCACTACTGTTGCAAACTTTTTTCAGTTTCTGTTTTCTTGCAAGGAAAAGCTTAACTTTTCATTTATAAGCTGACTCTTCAACAATAATAACATGACAAAAACTTGTGCTGGAGAAGAGCAAAGAGTTAATTTTTTTTTTTTTTCTGGCTGGCCCCAAGTGACCCCTTGTTCCCACTGCTTTTGAAATTACTGGAGTTTGCTTAGCCTGAAAAATTACAGCTATAGCAAAAGTTATGCTTTGCTGATCTATTTTTAAAAGGAACAGCAGAATTTTAAAAATAGAATCCCCCCCTTTTTTCTCTAACTCTGGCATCTCCAACCCAAGTATGTTGATGTAATTTCCAAAGTACTAAGAAATGTCTTAGGACACATTTAAGTCAGATCAGGCAAATCCAGGATTAATGAAAAAATGAGATGTTCATCTGGTCTGGAATGAGATCTTTCTTCCCATCATTCTTAGTTATAAAGATATCTTTTGTGTGGTTGAAGCTAAATTTAAGCCCAGCCTGAGTGTATTTGTGTATTATCTACGTGTGTTTTATGCATCAGCAGCGCACTGCATTAGTAGTCTGCACATACAATTATGGATTTATGATCTTTGAAGTCAGCTAATACAAAGATTTATATATTTGCAGGAAAAAAAACAAAAACAAAAACAAAAACAAAAACAACAAAAACCTAGGAAGTAATAGGAATGGGTGTTTCTTAGAGCTACAGTCTGATTCTCCTTTCACTTGAGTTGGTTTGCTCCATTATCTTCAGAGGAATTAGTCCTCTCCCTGATTTCAGCACCAGAAGAAGAGGAGAAAATCCATCCCTGAATGTACGACAAAGGAGATCTGCCTTTCTAGAGCTTGCTTTTGTTTCAGACCATAGCCCTGCGGCGGGTGGAGCGCTGACCGAGGAGCAGACCCTGCCCCGGGCATTAAACCGTGCGGGGTTTCTTCTGACCAACGAGTCCCAAGGAGCTCCTGAAAGACCGGGACTGAGGCCGGCTCTGGTGAGCGATGACGAAGGGGTGGCCCTGACCCCGTCGTGCGGCTCCCGGGGCCAGAGTGCCGGGGGCTTCCTGCCCGCTCCTGGCGATGCTCCGCTGGGCACGCCGGCTGCAGGAGTGAAAGTCACCTTCAGAGAAGCGCGGACGGAATGAAGGACACGGTAAGGTGAGAACATATTGATTTAATATATGCGCTACTATTTTGCAAGGAGCCGTCTTACAGGCTGTTTCTTTGTCAAAGCATTCAGCTACTGTAATAGGATTTCAATGTATAATGAGTTGAACTTTAATAGATCTATAGAAGCAGTTAACTAGCAAAGGAAAGTCCACGTCTAGCTATTTCCTGCTGCTACAATGTTTTAATAACAATGATACACAAAGACTTGTTTTGTTTAGCATGCACCATATTTTTGCATTGTAGACAAAGTCTTGATTCTCTTAGTCCAAGACAAAGTCGCAATTGTCTCCGTTTGAGACAAAATCTCAGGACAAAAAATATGTATTTGAAATGCCCCAAACTACAGAGGAGTAAGGAATCAGATTAGCATCAACTTCTGCTTCTTGCTACAATGAAAACAAAGATAGGGCAAGTATGTATTTTCTAACTGGAGGGACACATTTAGGAAAGATTTTGTACCTCATCATTCCCTAATGATGAAATCAGAAAAATGAAAATATTCTTCTCCTTCTCTGCACACACACCCTACCCCAGGCAGACCTGTTCTTACTGTGATGAGATTTGTTTTCCTACAGCAGAGTTTCCCTTAGAGAGCTCACAGGCATGGAGAGCAATTTTGTTTACCACCCCCGGGTGCAAAACTCGTTAACTAATGTTTATTTTTGTGTTTTCAGCTTCCAGCAATGGGGCAGCTTGATGGATAGTGAAGATGGTGGTGGTGGGGAGAATGGTAAGGAAAATTCAGGAGCTGGTTTTACATCTTTCAGTTGTGCATGCTCATAGGCAAAATGGCTAACAGCCTTTTAGCTATACCAAAAGAAGAAACCCCAGGCCTTGGCAATGGTGACCCTTCTACCTTGGTTTTGGTTTGTTTTTTTCAGGACGGTGGGAAACAAAGCACAGCCAGCCCCCTGACTTTTTGCAAGTTATAAATGCTGTATGAAATTCTAGTTTCAACACCAGAGAATGTTTTCTCATGTTGTTCAGAGTGACTCCAGATGCTGATGTACTTAGTTACACAGCACAAGTAACCCAACTGGAATGAAAAAGCAAGGTAATTGAGTTTATGTTCATCTGTCAATATTCCCAAGGGACAGACTGTTCAGCCTGCCAAGTTTGCTCTGCTTATGCATGCAGAGCATGAACTTAAACCGACTGGAGATTCCCACAGTAGATGCTCCCTGGTGAATAGGGGATCTCTTCTGCTGTAATGTGGTTACACATTCCCCCATATCTCACAGTATCAGGAGATGGGCTGAATGTTAGGCAGGAAAAGAAAGAAAAAATCATGGTAAAACTGAGTTTTTCTTCATCAAATATTTGCCTGACCCAAGTCCAATTATTACAGGAAAAACCATCAGCTTCTTCCTAGGCTTTTCTATGCTTCTCACTATTATAATATCTGGGAGATTCACATATATTTCTTCATCTTTCTATTCTAGTGAAGTGAAGGATTGCCATCCCTATATGTGAAGCAGAATATGGGGATCAAAGCAAAGAGTTCCTTTTAACTTTGAGTGAGTAGTCTGGGGCAATTGTGAGCGAACATTTAGAAATATATAATCATAGAATATGTTGAGTTGGAAGGGAGCCACAAGGATCATCGAGTCCAACTCCTGGTTCTGCACAGGGCAAGCCCAAGAAATCACACCATGTGCCTTACAGTGTTGTCCTAATGTTTCTTAAGCTCTAGCAGTGTTGGTGCTGTGACCACTTCCCTGAGGAGCCTGTTCCAGTGCTCAACCACCCTCTGGGTGAAAAATCTTTTCCCAATATCCAACCTAAACCTCCTCTGGCACAGCTGCATGCCATTCCCTTGTGTTCTGTCACTGATCACCACAAAGAACGGATCAATTCTGGCCCCTTCACCTCCCCTCATGAGAATGTTGAAGACTGTGGTAAGGTCTTCTCTCAGTCTCCTCCAGGCTGAGCAAACCAAGTGATCTCAGACACTCCTTGTATTGCACCCAAAACTGCCCCCAGCACTCGAGGTGAGGCTGCCCCAGTGCAGAGCAGGGCAGGACAATCCCTCCCTTGCCTGGTTGGTGATGCTGTGCCTGATGCCCCCAGGACACAGCTGCCCCTCCTGGCTGCCAGGGCACTGCTGGCTCAGATTCAACTTGCCATGGACCAGGACCCTCAGGTCCCTTTCTGCAGCACTGCTTCCCAGCCTCTCATTCCTCCAGTTTTCAAATTTCTTACCTTTTTTTACTTTACATGGCTTTGTATTTGATTAATTGTCACCCCTCATTTAAGATAGTTCTATAGGGGATCTCCATGTAGCTAGACCATACAAACAACAGCAATGTCTATCCCAAACACAGGAGCAAGTCAATGCCTGTAGCAGAGCAGACGTACAAGACACGTGTGAGGGAATAACCAACTATGGCCAATATTCAGTGCATGTTGGAAATATATGAAAGAAAAATCAGAAAAGATGGGAGAATCTATGAAACAAAGGAACAAAAGATTATTTGATCCTGTGGTCTGGGAAGAAACCAGAGAATGTGTCTCTGAGGAAAATTGAAATTAAGAGCCTCTTTAGCTGAGCTCTATGTGGCAGGAGCTGGTAAGGACAAACAAAGGCTCTGCCTTCTGATGGTTGGCTTCTGCACCATCTGAGGAAACAGTTTTGTAACCAACTCCAGGGAAAAGTGGCTCCACCACAAATTTCTTCATGCTGTAGAAACATCCCTCAGCACATTGGCTCCAATGCCATGTTAAGGCACAAGTGCACAGACAAAAGCATCTGTCTCCCAATTGGAAAGGCAGGCCAAACAGCAGCTGCCAGTGCATAGCAGGTTTGCTGATATGTGGGTTGGATCCAGTGTGTGCACACTATGTAGCTGGCATAGACAGGTGCAGCAAATCTTATAAGTCAGATTTAAAAGTGGGAGGACTCAAAAAAACAGAAGTATGGGAAGCCAGGATGGTTTGTGCAGGCAGGTCAGAGTTATCTTCACACATGTGCCATGCCCAGGGCTGTTTAGCTGGGCTCCCCCTCCTGAGCTTTCCTGTTCTTGTTGCTATCAGTTGTCCCACTGACAAATCTGGCCCAGGCAGTGGCAAGCTGTATTTTCCCTCATGGCCCACTGTGAGAACCTGGGCTTTCACCATGGGTGGTGGTGTCTGTGATGAGTAAGTAACCTTACAGAGAGGCAGAAACCAGTCCTGATGAACCAGCACTCAGTCCATGTCACCAAATGTAAGCAGAACTCGTTGGCCCAAGCCTCCTGGTCTCTCCTGCAAAGAAGACTGGCAAAACTGAAGAGAACTGTGGGCAAGCAGGAAGGGGCCAGACACACAAAGGAAGCCAAGTCTGAGTGCCAATAGTTGAGACCCTGAGACTTTCTGAGCTCAGGCAGCCTCAGGTCTAGTTGCTGAGCCTCTTTCTTTGTACTTTCCCATGAATGAAGGACACTTGTCCTGGCACCAGCCAGCGACCAGAAACCACAATTAGAGACACCCCTTTTCATGTCCATAGGGATCCTCTGTATCTCAAAGCAGTCCCAGGGTGGTGGGAACAAGAGGATCATCTCCAGCTGTGCATAAGCATGCTGGGCAGTGGCACCTGGAAGTAAATCCAGAGTGCCCTATCAGTGTGGGGTATGTGTATGAAGAATGTCAGACCATGCAGTGGCATCTCCCTGGGTGTAGGGTGTAGGGGACTTTGGGCAGGGTAACAGGACCATGTAGCAAAGAGCAGATTTCCAAGGGACCTGGGTACACTCTGTGGGGCTCATTGTGCCCTTCCTGCTCTGACAGCCATGTCAGCTGAGGGATCTGTTGTTACTCCCATGCCTCAGGCAGCTGTCGCCTCCAGTGAGAAACAGGGAAATGGGAGAGGCAAATGAGTGAGAATGGGGTAAACAGTATTTTGCTCAAACTGAAGTGGGGAATGCCCTTGCTCAGCAGTTGTTCTCAGCTACCCCAGTGTCCCAGGGCAAGCTCCCTTTACAAAAACAGAAACTGATCCAGGCCAACATCCTTCTGTAAGAGAGAGCAGAGAGGATACCAGGATGGAAAGCAAACAAATTCACCCTTTTCAGACTGTGTTCCTCAGATTTGTTGCTCATTCTCAATTCTGCCCAAGGTGATAATCACCAAGGGCATTTTCCTCACTTTGTACAGTGCAGGAGAAACCTGGGTTTCAAGCCTTTGGCGATTCCTCAGAGGGTGGATACACACTCTCCCAAACCAAGGCCTCTTCCTTCCTGGGAAAGTAAAGCCAGCAGTCCAAATCAGAGTTAGAGAAGCAAATATATTTACATAAAATACATAACACGTTGTAATAATCAAATAAATAATTAATTAAATGTATTATTGGGAACTATGAACTATTTATGCAAACCAAAATTCTTTACCTTCCAGAGGCAAGTATTCAGCACATGGAGAAACTCTTTTGAGGTGCTCAGTAGCACTGACACCAAGCAGCAGCTCCATACTTTTCCCAGGAAGGTGTAAGAGCACAAACAGGCCAGCAAAGCTGGAAGCACATAAAGTAATTTTCCTAGCTGTAAGTGTAGGTTACTGTGCCCTGGGTATTATTGCCAGCTCCTGGCAGATTTGCTGGTCACCATGCCCTAATATGCAGGTTCCTGCTTCCAGTTTCTGTTGTGTCTTTCTGCCACAGTCACTTCTTTCCCCTCCCACATGAATTGCTGTGGAGTAAGGAAAAAGGCAGCAGCCCAGAGGGACAAAATGAAAGGCACAAAGAGCCTTGTGGCCTAACTGCTTTATTTTTCTTCTCTCTCCAAGCCAAAAAGTTCCTGAGCATGAGCAAGCCTAAATGTAACTTGGCACCAGTGCCACAGATAAATGTCAGTATTTTCCCTGGCAGCTAGAAACAAAACTGTCCAAGGGGATTTTTATCTTAGAGGATGGCCTCCCTGCTGTGCAGTTTTCTCACAGGCTAGGCATTCCCCACAGGGAGATGAGTGGGGTTTTCCTCCCTGCATCTGCAGCAGGAGAGCCCCAAGAGCTGCCCTGGTGCTGGGGGTGAAGCTGCTCCCTGGTATGAGCTCCCCAAGAGGTGGTGAACACTGGAATTTAGGTGCACATGGGGAAGGGCAGGCACATCAACACTGCCTGCCTGATTGAATTCTGTTATCACTATGGGGTATGCATACAAAAAAGAGCAGGCTAACATGATTCAGAATAGTCAGAGAAGACAATTTACAGACCTGCCTCTCTTGAATGCTGCAGAAAGAAAGAAAAGCCTCATGGCAATTTGGAGCAGCCTATGAAGTGTAGCAGGGTAAATAACTCCTTGCAAACAGCAGTGGAAACAAAAACAGGCTCAACAGCTGCTCTACCCAACTCACAACTCATCTTGCCTACCCCAGGTTGAGCTCCTGGCTGATGCCAAGTTCTCTTGCTTTGGAAGAAAATGCTTAACAGTTTGATCAGCTGAGATTGCTGGACAGCATCTCTTGCAGATAGACAAGCATTTCAGGAACCAGTAGTGATTATGGAATGGCCATAATATGGCTGTCATTTCTCATCATCAATATGGACGTATGGAGCTTGAAGTACACACTATTTTTAGATATCTGGATGCATTCCTGATGAAGAGACAGCTATCAGTCACTACTGTCCAGTAATTCTTCTTGTTTGATACCATTATTTTTCCCAACATTATTTATTGATATTTGTCCTTACATTTGTTTCCAACAACTTTGTATAGGAATACTATAACAAAGATACCAGTTTCATCAGCAAATGAAGTAATTCATGTATTCCACCCTGGACCATTTTTTCTGTGTAGTTTTACACAGAGAGGAAACCGAAAGAATCATGGCTATATGCTGTGGATAAACACAGCTACCATTTCTCTTTTTTTTATTTTTTCAGAAGAATATTGAGATTCAATTAGGATTATTGCAGAAAAAGGACTTGACTTTTTTTTACTAGTGCACATGGGAAATGCTGATCACCTACATGCTTCAGTAATCCAGCGTATGTATGATAGCTCTTGGTTAATTCCAGTTATTCCCTCTGCAGTTTAATCTGCTTCAGCCAAAACAGAATCCAAGCCCATGTGTACAGTTTCCA